CTCTCTCTCTCTCTCTCTCTCTCTCTCTCTCTCTCAGAAAGAGGCAGAATACAAAGTGAACAACGGTTTGCGGCCCTCTCGTCTCTGTCTCCGCCCACTTCCCACCCTATCTCACAGCCTTTCTCCCAGCGCCCGCCCGCAGGACTACCTCAGCCTACTGCAGTAGCAGGTGAGGACTCGGGACCGTTCTGCTCCTCCTAAAGGCAAGCAGGCCGGCTCCTTTCCTAGTTCTGGCTCATTTCAACTCTATAGCCGAAAGAGCGAATAGGAAGTCCCTGGTTTTGGCAGGAAGTGTCCCTCTTTTATCCACCTCAGGGCTTTACAGGTGGGGACAGACTCCTATCAAAGGCCCCGGTTGTGTCCCTCTGCTGGACGCTCACTTCCGCTGCCTCGATCGCCCTGGCCCGTGCTTGCCTCTAAGGCTGGGTGGCACACACAAGCACCTGAGTGACTGTCCAGGCAAAGTCGCTGGAGCTCAGCAAATATGTACTTTTTTTTTTTTTTTTTTTTACCACAAATACTGTATTTACTTAAAACACGCGCCTTATGCTCACCAATGGGTGTCACAGGAGCTAAGTGGGGTTCCACCCTCGGGATGCTAAGGGGTTGCTCGGCGAGGTGAACCACACATCAAGGAGTAACCGGGCTGTCACTTTCCCACTTTCGGACTGAGCCAAGCTGGGCGGAGCTGGGGACTGTGGATGCTGCAGGGCGGGAGCGGAAGTGTGAGGCCCACCCAGGTGGGAGCTGGCCATCCGGAAGGGCCAGGCTTCCAACAGCAGCCAAAGGAAGGGACAGCCGGGGCACGGCGAGCAGGCTCCCTTGAGGCGCCCAGGCCCACATCACCACATCTCCCCACAGCTGCCTCCACCTCGAGCGCTGCGGGTGTTTCTGTATTTTCTGCCATAAAATCTTGCTATCCAACAAATTCGATGAGACATTACATAAAAATTTTAAAGGATTATTAAAAAGGCATTGTGCTGGGCGTGGTGGTGCACTCATATCCCAGCACTCGGGAGGCTGAAGCAGGAGGAACACTGTAAGTTCAAGGCCAGCCTGGGCTTAACCAGGGAGGAAATGCTTATCTATAGTGGTAAATTCAGAACCAGATCACCAAGGGTCATGTATTCTGTGAAGGCAGCCGAAACTACCAGAAAGAAGGCGCTTATTTATTTTAATTTATGTATTTGGTACAGGGTATCCTGTTTTCAGCCTCCCCAGTGCTGGGATTACAGGCATGCGCCACCACTTCCGCACCCACCCAGTGCCCTCTCAGTATGCCGGTGGGTGGGGCTAGCGCAGAATGTGGTGCCGGGCATCCAAGCCTCGTCCCTGCGCTTGCATAAGTAGGTGCTTAGTCTCCTGAGCTATCTTGCAAGCCCTGAAGGCTCTTATTTGACCAGCTAAGTTTCTTAAGAAACACCATTTCATAATGGTATAATTGGCTATTTTTAAATATCTGATAAAAACAAGAAATCTGGTCACCTCCAATCAACCACCAATGCACAACAGGGAACGGGACAAGTGTACCCTCTTCCCTTGGAGACGGACTGATTAGATCCTCCGGAGCTAAGAATGGAGATAACAAGGTTCAGCTCCGCTGTGCAGCTGCGGCCAGTGGGGCACGCCTAAACCTCCTCGGGGGGCTAAGGCAGAAAGGACCTCAAGTTTGGGACTCACCTGGGCAACATAATGAGGCCCTGGCCCCAAAACAAAGCCCTGCTATGTAGAGGATGGGACGACAGGTACTGAGCCCCGAACTGGCACTAACGTCTGGTGTGAACACTGGTGACAGCTACTTTCTTTTCCTCTGAAGGAAAGGAACTGGGTAGAGTATCCCAGCCCCTGTGAAGGGGCAGCCGTAGCTCTAGGGGTGACATTCCCATCACCCAGGGCAAGGGGCTGTGTCCACCCAGTGGGTGGGTGGCAGTGGGAGGCTACTGGGAAGTGGGTCAGCATCACTCTTGATAGTAGTTAAAAGACACTTTGCAAATGAGAGGGAAAACTTCTAACAATGGCCAGAGAGTGCTCCACAAATACCAAGTGAGAGATAAAGATGAGGGATTATTCTTAGGAGGCCTGAGCTGGAGGGTGAAGACAGGTGACCAAGGACAAACTCCACCTCACTGCCTGGTTATGGGGAGGGGACAGGGGAGATGAGAGGGCTGTGAGATTTAGGAATCTGACCTTTTCCCAAGCCTGGGGTCCT